AATTTAGTCTAAGTCATGTGATCTAACCTAAGAATAAATTAAAGAACCTAAAAAGATACAAAATTTAAAGATAATGCATACGTATAGAGTAAAGAAATAGGATATATAAAAAACATCTATTAAATGTATGCATATATGTCAAAACTATAATGTATATTTAGTAGTACATACACGCGTGACTATATTTAGTATAATACATATATATATGCGTGAATTTATGTATATGGTGATATGACATGCGTGGGAAAGCATAAATAAGGTATATAAAAATACATTAATTATATACATATAGATGAGTAAAACTATCAACATATTGTCATGGACGAACCAACAAACACTGCTCCAGTGAATAATGTGGGGGTTGGCACCTCTGCAACGGTAAACCAGAAGATCCAAGAGGTGCGTAGGAGCTACAGAGAGAAAAAGTTCCAAGGCTCTAACTGACTTTGTCCTTTTCTAAAGGATAAGCATATAAATAAGAAAATTGTAATCATCTGTTATAAACTTTCCTGGATATTCTCTCAATTTTCTCAATCTAAATTTCTTCCTTCGTCCTCTTTATCTCATCATTTTTGTCTCTTATTTACGCACATGACATTTGGTGCTTTCATTGACTTTACCATCATGGTAACCCATTCGGACTCTATCAAAGCTCTTCAAGACACCACCAACAGCTACGAGCAATTGTTAACATCGCTCCAAAAGTTTACAGAGGAGAAACAACAATGGAATGCTAACACACAGACTACTCTTCAAGAGATGGCCCGTCAACTACAATCCATTTCCACTCAGCTTGGAGTATCTACAACCTCATCTGGAGGGGGCGAAGTGACCGGCGTAGCACTGTTCTTCGTGGAAAAGCAAAAGCTCGTACTAATCAGAGGATGTCTTTCCTTTCTCGCCAAAACTGATTCAACTTGAGCTTACCTTTTTATTGGTAAGGATCCGGAGGAATGACTAGCTGTGGCGCAAGATTTCTTTGAGTTTAATGGAATGGAAGATCACCATAGGGTGAAGATTGTTCAGTAATAGGGGGTCATGCTGGAATTACACGAACATTTCACCGTTTAGCGGCAAACTTTTATTGGCCAGGTATACTCAAGGATGTTCATCGGTTTATCAATGAATGCCAAATATGCCTACGAATGAAGAGTGATAGTTTGGCTCAAGTAGGGCTTCTTCAACCCCTTCCCATTCCTGGTCAAGTTTTTGGAGATATATCGCTCGACTACATTATCGGATTGCCCAAATCCAATGGTAAGGAAGCTATCTTGGTTGTCGTTGATCGCCTCACTAATATGGCCATTTTTTCAGTCTACCTCGTCACTTTGATGCTGCATTTGTGGCGCATATTTTGGTCCAAGGGGTCATCAAACTTCAAGGTATTCCACGTAGTATTGTCATTGGCTCGTCTACAAGGCACCCAATTATGTTTTAGTTCAGCTTATCACCCTCAATCCGATGGTCAAACGGAAAACTTCGAATTGCTGTCTCGAAATGTATTCGCATTTTATGGCAGGAGATGGTCCAAATAAATGGGAACAATTTTTACTGTGGGCCCAATATTGGTATAATACCGCTTACCAAACCTCAACTGGCATGACTTCATTTCGAGCTTTGTACGGCCGCGACCCTCCTACTATATTGACTTATTTGGAAGGAAGTTCTTGAAATGCTCAGTTGATCACCAGTTGCTGGAACGTGATGAACTGCTACGAGTCTTAAAGGGTAATTTACAACAAGCACAACACTGTATGAAGAATCAGGCCGATAAGCATCGTCGTGAATTGGTGGAAGTCAGTTGGGCATTTTTTCGATTACAAATGTATCGTCAAATCTCTCTTCGACTACAACGTCATCACAAGTTGGGACCAAAATATTTTGGACCCTATCGTGTTCTCCACAAGGTCAGTCCGGTGGCCTACAAGCTTGATTTACCTACTTCCAATCTCATTCATCCCGTTTTTCTAATTTCACAGATGTAACCTTAAAAAGATCTTCCAACTCAGCAGATCACACCACTGTCATTGCTACGAGAAAAAGTCACGAAGGATGTCATCAGCGCAAATCTTGAGGACAATGTTATTTCTGCGGGAGGAGGTGCTGTAATGGACGAACCAACAAACACTGCTCCAGTGAATGATGTGAGAGCTAGCGCCTCTGTAACGGTAAACCAGGAGATCCAAGAGGTGCGCAGGAGCTGAAGAGAGAGAAAAAGTTCCAAGGCACTAACCGACTTTGTCCAATTCTAAAGGGTAGGCATATAAATAAGAAAAGTTGTAATCATCTGTTATGAATTTTTGCTGGATATTCTCTCAATTTACTTAATCTAAATTTCTTCCTTCTTCCTCTCTATCTCTGCATTGTTGTCTCTTATTCACGCCCATAACTTTCGTTGACTTTACCACCATGGTAACCTATTCGAACTCTATAAAAGCTCTTCAAGACACCACCAGCCGCCACGAGCAATTGTTGACATAGCTCCAAAAATTTACAGATGAGCAACAACAATGAAATGCTACCACACAGGCTACTCTTCAATAGATGGCCCGTCAACTACAATCCATTTCCCCTCAGCTTGGAGTATCCGTAACCTCATCTGTAGGGGCGAATTGATCGACGATGGCACTGTTCTTCATGGAAAAGAAAAAGCTCGTACTGACTCAGAGGATATCTTTCCTTTTGCTCTTAAACCAGTTCAAGTTGAGCTTCCCTTGTTTACTGTCAAGGATCCGAAGGAATGGCTAGCTGCGGCGCAAGATTTGTTTGAGTTTTATGGAACGGAAGATCACCATAGGGTGACCATTGTTCCTTAATAGGGGGTCATATTGGAATTACACGAATATTTCACTGTTTAGCGGTAAACTTTTATTGGCCAGGTATGTCGAAGGATGTTCGTCGGTTTATCAATGAATGCTAAATATGCCAACAAATGAAAAGTCATAGTTTTGCTCCGACAGGTCTTCTTCAACCCCTTCCCATTCCTGACCAAGTTTTTAAGATATATTGCTCAACTTCATAATCGAAATGCCCAAATCCAATGGTAAGGAAGCTATCTTGATTGTCGTTGATCACCTCACTAAATATGGCCATTTTTCAGTCTACCTCGTCTCTTTGATGCTGCATTTGTGGCTCGTATTTTGGTGGAATGGGGATAGCCTACTATCTTACCTCCCCTTACCCCATACATATGGGAAAAAGGGACAGCCATTTTGGTGGAATGGGTCATCAAACTTCAAGGTATTCCACGTAGTATTGTCAGTTATCACGATCGCTTATTTTTGAGTGAGATGTAGACAGAATTGGCTCACCTACAAGGCACTGAATTATGTTTTAGTTCAGCTTATCACCCTCAATCCGATGGTCAAACGGAAGCTTCAAATCGCTGTCTCCAAATGTCTTTGCGTTGTATGGCAGCAAATGATCTGAGTAAATGGGAACAATATTTACTGTGGGTCGATTATTGTTATAATACCGCTTACCAAACCTCTACGGGGATGACTCCATTTCGAGTTTTGTACGGCCGCGACCCTCCTACTATATGGACTTATTTGGAAGGCAGTTTTTCTAATGCTCTATTTAATCGCCAGTTGCTGGAACGTGATGAACTACCGCGAGTCTTAAAGGGTAATTTACAGCAAGCACAACACCGTATGAAGAATCAGGTCGATGACCAAAATATTTTGGAACATATCGTGTTCTCCGCAAGGTCAGTCGAGTTGCCTACAAGCTTGATTTACCTACCTCTACTCTTATTCATCACGTTTTTCAAATTTCACAGTTGAAACCTTGTAAAGGTCTTCCCACTCAGCAGATCACACCACTGTCGTTGCTGCGAGAAGAAGTCACGAAGGATGTCATTAGCGCAAACCTTGAGGACAATGTTAATTCTGTAGGAAGGGGTGTTATCATGGACGAACCAGCAAAAATTGCTCCAGTGAATGATGTGGGAGCTGTGACTTATGCAACGATAACCAAAGATCCAAGAGGTGCATAAGAGCTGCAGTGAGAGAAAGACTTCCAAGGCTCTAACCGGCTTTGTCCCTTTCTAAAGGATAGGCAAATAAATAAGAAAAATTGTAATCATCTGTCATGAATTTTTCTGGATATTCTATCAATTTTCTCAATCTAAATTTCTTATTTCTTCCTCTCTATCTCTGCATTTCTGTCTCTTATTCACGCACATAACATTTGGTGCTTTCGTTGACTTTACCACAATGGTAACCCATTCGGACTCTACCTAAGCTCTTTAAGACACCAGCAAACACCACGAGAATTGTTGACATCGCTCCAAAAGTTTACAGAGGAGCAACAACAATGGAATGCTACCACACAGACTACTTTTCAAGAGATGGCCCGTCAACTACAATCCATTTCCACTCAGCTTGGAGTATCCGCAAACTCATCTTGTGGGGGCGAAGTGATCGACGATAGCACTATTCTTCCTAGAAAAGCAAAAGCTCGTACTGATCAGAGGATGTCTTTCCTTTCTCTCCAAAATGTAGAAAAATAAAGAAGAAATAATAGACTTTAGATGACAGAACTTGCTGTTTTTTTATTCAATGCTTAGAATGGAACAAAGATAAGCCTTATATAGGCTTGACAACACAACAAACTAATAGAAAAAAAGAACCACTACTGCACGTAAATAACAATAAAATCAGAAAAATAAGGAACCACAACAGTCAATACTAAAAATAGGATGACTTTGAATCATTCTTCAACACTCCACCTTGATTCAAAGTTGCAAACGTCAAGTTGTTGTCTGAAGTAAGCATGTTTATCTTTAGGGAGAGACTTCGTTAGTATATCTGCCATTTTCTCATTTGTATTGCAATATTTCAGAATAATTGATCCATCAGACACAAGATCACGAATGAAGTGTACCCTAATATCTATATGCTTTGTTCTTCTATGAAAGGATGGATTCTTGGACATGGAGATCGCTGCTTGATTGTCACAGTAGATCACAGTTGTTTCCTTCTCTGCTAGGATCCTTCTTAACCATGAGCTTGACAAGCTGGTGAAGTTGCAGCTTTATATTCAGCTTCCGATGAAGACAGAGGTGTTATAGCTTGTTTTTTAGAACACCAACAAACAACACCTGATCCAAAGCCAAAGACATAACCTGACGTGCTTCTTCTATCCTCCAAACATCCAGCCCAGTCATTAATTGTATAACCACTCAAATTGAACTTTGAAATATTTTCATACCATAGTCCAAAATCAAGAGTTCCGGCAATATACTGTAAGACTCTTTTTGCAGCGCCAAAATGATACCTTGATGGACAGTGCATGAACATTGAAATAACTCCAACAACAAAAGAAATGTCCGATAGCGTATTAGTCAAGTAAACCAAGCCTCCAACTAGAATTCTAAAGCTCCTTGCATCTGTTGCTTTAGTACCATCATCATTCTTCAACTTTTCATTCAAATTCATAGGTGTTGCTACAATTTTGCACCCCGTCATCTTTAATTTTTTAAGTAAATCAGCAGCATATTTCTTTTGCGACACAAAGAATCCATCTTCAACCTGCTTCACCTCAAGTCCAAGAAAAAATTGTAATGCTCCAAGATCCTTCATTTCAAATTACTTTTTCATACAAGCTTTGAATTCATTTATAAGGCTTGAGGAACCCATGTAAATCATGTAATCAACATAAAGGCAAATAATAGAAAATCATGGGTACCTTACTGTTTAAAATAAAGATTGGACTCATACTTTCTTCTTTCAAAACCATTTCTGAGAAAGTATGCATCGATTTTATTGTACCATGTGCACGGAGCTTGTTTCAGCCCATAGAGAGCTTTTCGTAACTTCTACACTTTTTCTTCTTTGCCTTCGATCGTGAATCCGTCAGGTTGAGCAACATAGACCTCCTCTTGTAAATCACCATTCAGAAAAGCTGACTTAACATCGAATTGATACACTATCTTTTTTAAATGTGCAGCCAACGCCAAAACAATCCTAATGGTTTCAAATCGTGCAACCAGAGAGCAAGTATCATCAAAATCTACACTTGGTTGTTGTGAATATCCTTTCGCCACTAGACGTGCTTTGTGCTTTTGAATGTTTCCATCTGCGTTGAACTTAGTTCTAAAGACCCATTTAACACCAACAGCTCTTCTATCTTTAGGAATATCTACAAGCTCCCATGTCTTATTACATTGTATTTTTGCAATTTCTTATTTCATTGGAATTTTCCATTCCTCTTTGTCTGCCGCTTCTTCGAAAGTTGTAGGATCAACAACAAACAAGGCCTGCGTAGAAGCATAAATCTCTGACAAAGTTTTGAATTTCTTTGGAGGAGTCTCATCATCGGAGGAAATGCTACCATTCGAAGATGCACTTGACGAAGTTGGAGGAGACGATAGATTTGGAGAAGACGGTTGTAACACTTCAATCTGTGGAGTTGCTTCTTTACTTGCAATTTCAAACTTGACATCAGCTGCATTTTCTTCCCAAGATCAACTTGCATCCTCGTTGAAAATCACATTTCTACTGATTATTATTTTGCCATCAATAGGACTATACAACATGTAAGCTTTGGACTCATAACAATAACCAACAAAAATGCATTTTATTGATTTTTCATCAAGTTTGCTGCGTTTATAAGAGTAAAATAAAGTATAAGCAACACAACCAAAAACCTTTAAGTGGCTTACCCAAGGTATTTTTTTGTACCAATCCTCATATGAAGTTTGATTGAGAACAACCCTTGTTGGTGAAAAATTCAAAAAGTAGACTACAGTTGCAACAACTTCTACCCATTATTGATTCAGAAGTCCTTTAGCTTTCAACATGCTTCTTAACATTTCCACAACCGTCCGATTCTTTCGTTTAGCAACACCGTTCTGCTCTGGAGTGTATGGAGCAGTCAGCTCTCTTCTCAGACCATGTTTTTCACAGAAACTATTAAACTCATGTGATACAAATTCACCGCCTCTATCTGTACGCATAGCCTTGATGCATCTTCTAGTTTGCTTCTCCACAAGTGCCTTGAATCTTTTGAAGTTTTCAAATGTTTCTGACTTGAACTGTAAGAAGTAAACCCCACTCATCCGGCTACAATATCTGTAAATAATAAAAAAATATCTACTCCCACCAAATGATTGAGTTTTCATGGGACCAACCACATCAGCATGTACAAGTTCAAGGCACTTCATTGCCCTTCTAGACTTCCCCACATGAAATGGCTTTTTACATTGTTTTCCATGTATGCACCCTTCACATATATCTAAAGACTCAATTTTAGGCAATCCATCAACCATTTTCTTTTGACACAATAATTTCAAACCTTTGACATTTTAAATGCCCATACCTCAAATGCCATAATCTCGACTCACTTGTTTCTTTGACAGCAAGTGCATGGTTTTGAACATCAGAAATAACAAGTGGGAATAACTTGTTTGGTGTCATGCGAACGTCAACTATAGTTTGATATGATTTTTTATCTTTGATCACACATGAGGCATCTTCGAACATGATAGAATATCTAGTAGCCATGAATTGCCCTACACTCAACAGATTTTGTGACAGACTTGGAATGTAATAAACGTCATAGAGAAGTTTCACATTACCAGAACTACTTTTGACTGCCACATTGCCCTTCCCTTCCACTTGAATTTGCTTGTTGTCTCCAAGTGTTACTTTTTGTTTGAAGGTTTCATCAATCTCATTGAACAATGACTTCACACCAGTCATGATTCGAGCACCCACTGTCTAGAAACTAAATGTTCCTATGGCTTGCTTCATTTTCTTGATACACCATGAACAATTTAATCTCGTCATCTTCTTGCTCTACATAACTTGCTTGTTCCAGCTTTGATCTTCTCCAGCAACCTGCCTTCACATGCCTAAATTTTTTACAGTAAAAGCATTGGATAACCCTTTTGTTATCTCATTGTTGTGTTTGACTTTGGTAGCCATCGCTTCGGCCTCGTCCTCTGTCGCGACCTCCTCGTCCACGAGATCCAAGTTGACCTTGCCATTTTTGTTCATTTATCTAGGGAAATGCCTCCCCTTTCACATGAAAAGCCTTGTCCTCGGTCTTCTCTTCCGTTCTGTTCAGCCTCGCCTCGTGGGACTGCAATGATCCCATCAACTCATCAAATGTGAATGTTTCCAGGTATTTGGATTCTTCTATGGAAGCCACTACATGATCAAACTTAGGAGTGAGACTCCTTAAAATTTTTGCAACAATTGTTTGATCATTAATATTTTCCCTATAAGACCGCATTTTGTTGACAATTTCAGCAACTCTGGATAAAAAATCCTGCACCGGCTCTCCACCTTTCATATGCAAGGTTTCAAAATCCCGACGAAGTGATTGAAGTTTTATCTTCATTACCTTAGAGGAGCCTTAAAATGTTGTTTACAAGATTCCCCAAGCTTCTTTCGCTGTAACAATTTTCAAAAAAACAGTCTCATGAACGACTTACTAAATAAAAAATAATGCCTTTGAGTCCTTCTTATTTTCTTTCAATCTCCCCTCTTCATCTGGTTCGGTACAACCATTTTCAACCAAGTCCCAAAGATCTTGAGACTTGAACAAGGTCTTCATCTTGATGCTCCAAAACTCATAGCTTTCTCTGTTGAAGACTGGAATCGATAGTTGAGATACAATCACGACATTGACGTTAGGCGCCATTTGTTACAAATCCCAGCTACAAACGAACCTGGCTCTAATACCATAAATGTAGAAAAATAAAGAAGAAATAATGGACTTTAGATGACAGAACTTTCTTTTTTTTTTATTCAATGCTTAGAATGGAACAAACATAGGCCTTTTATAGGCTTGACAACACAACAAACTAACAGAAAAAAGGAACCACTACTGCACATAAATAACAATAAAATCAGAAAAATAATGAACCACAACAGTCAATACTAAAATTTGTATGACGTTGAATCATTCTTCAACACAAAATGGGTTAAAATTGAGATTCCCTTGTTTACTAGCAAGGAAATGGAGGAATTGCTAGCAGCTGCGCAAGAATTTTTTTTTTTTTTTGAGTTTTATGGAACGGAAGATCACCATAGGGTGACCATCGTTCCTTAATGGGGGTCATGCTGGAATTACACAAACATTTCACCATTTAGCGGTAAACTTTAATGGCCGGGTACGCCCAAGGATGTTCGTCGGTTCATAATTAAATACCAAATATGCCAACGAATGAAGAGTGATAGTTTTGCTCCGGTAGGGCTTCTTCAACCCCTTCCCTTGATTAAGTTTTTGAAGATATAACGTTCGACTTCATTATCAAAATGCCCGAATCAGATGGTAAGGAAACTATCTTGGTTTTCGTTGATCGTCTCAGTAAAAATGGCCGATTTTTCAGTCTAACTCGTCACCTTCGATGCTACATTTTTGGCTCGTATTTTGCTCCAAAGGGTCATCAAACTTCAAGGTATTCCATGCAGTATAGTTGGTGATCACGATCGCTTTTTCTTGACTGAGTTGTGGATAGAATTAGCTCGCCTACAAGGAACTGAATTATGTTTTAGTTTACCTTTTCACCCCTAATTTACAGCTAGAAGAGGTTACGAAGGATGTCATCAGTGAAAACCATGAGGACAAGGTTAATTCTGCAGGAGAGGGTGTTGTCATGGACTAACAAGAAAAAACTGTTCCAGTGAATCATGTGGGAGCTGGCACCTCTGCAACAGTATACCAGGAAATCCAAGAGGAGCGTAGGAGCTGCAGAGAGAGAAAAACTTCCAAGGATCTAACCGACTTTTTCCTTTTCTAAAGGATACGCATATAAATAAAAAAAGTTGTAATAATCTGTTATGAATTTTGCTGGATATTCTCTCAATTTTTTATATAAATTTCTTCCTTCTTCCTCTCTATCTCTGCATTTATGTCTCTTATTCACGCACATAACACATATTTCATATGGTATAGCACACGCATGGGTGTAAATATATATTACGTAATATATACAAAACTAATTAAAACTATGTCATACATCTACATAATACGGTACGTAAATATTTTTATGTATACATATATATATATATATAAACAAACATTAACATATTTAGATATATTTATTACAATAAAATAACACAAGGGTAAATATGCATATTGACAGGGGCTAGACTGTTGGCTAGCAGGTCCGTGCGACCATTGGTCACTTTGCTCAGTTACTGGGCGCTAAAGTAGCCTTGAAACCTAAGTTTGGTTGATTAGATTGTCACGAAAGTAAGCACAAAGAGAATATAAACGAAAATAAGAGAAAGAATAAATGAACACAATGGGCATGAGGAGGTCTCTTTTATAATGATAATCCCTAAGAGTTAATGACTAAGTCTACTTCTACTATAACCAAAAGTACATCACTACTTTAGTTAAAAGTCTAAAGGTTGAATCCTACTTAAATAATGATGGTGACTTTGTCCTTTTTCTTAGGGAAGGTCGATATTGGCTTGGAGAGGGCCTGAGTCACAGTGTGCTCGGTCTTATCAAATTCTGATGCGGTGGCTTGGTGCATCCCTTGGTGCGTTTTGTGGAAGACTTACGTATCGCCTGATCGTTTGGGCCTGGGAGTGTTTCGATGTGCACGGATGTGCGCTAGTGG